TGAGAGGTGACTTGATAGAGGTGTACAAAATGATCAGAGGTATAGATGGAGTAGACAGCCAGAGACTTTTTCCTAGGGTGGAGGTAGCTTTTACGAGGGGGACATAGTTTTAAAGTGAGTGGAGGTAGATATCGGGGAGACGTCAGAGGTAGGTTCTTTACTCAGAGAGTGGTAGGGGCGTGGAATGCATTGCCGGAGAGGGTAGTGGAGTCGGCCTCATTAGGGGCATTTAAGCGGCTATTAGATAGGCATATGGATGATAGTATAAGGTAGTGGTGGAGCTTAGATAGACCTTAGGTTTTGGGTAAAAGTTCGGCACGACATCGTGGGCCGAAGGGCCTGTACTGTGCTGTACTGTTCTACGTTCTACACGTGACTGCAGATCCACAGCCATGTGGCTGGTTCTTACCTGAGGATTAGAGATGGGTAGTAAATTCTGTCCCAGTTGCAATGCCCACATACTGTGAATAGAAAGTTCTCCAGTTTTGTTTATTAACCTCCTCTATGGAAGATTATCAGAATACCCAAAAATGCCACGTCCACTGAGACTCCTTATCTAAGCGAGAGGTAACTTTCTCAAATAAGTTCCAGCAGGTTTGTTAAACATGATTTCCCTTTACTAAATCTGGCTGTGCCCAATCTATAATTTTGGAAGTGTCTGGTTATTGCAACCTTTAAATTATGGCAGTTTACTTCTGACTGATGTGGGGCTAACAAGTATGTAGTTTTCTACTTTCTCTCTTCTCCCTTAAATCGTGAAGTTACATTTGTAAATTGTGAGATTGCATTAATTATTCTCAAAGTTATCATGTAGAATGTTTAACTGACTTTGGCTTCAATAAAATGTTTGGGACGTTTAGGATGAAAAATGTCAACCATAGGATTTGAGTTTTTTTTTGATTTTTGCAAGCTTTTTGTATCTTCAGGAGATATGAGGAGGACATCTACTGGAGGAGAATGGAAGAGGAACACCATTATTGGGATGACCGTCGCAGAATGGCTGATGGGTATCCACCAGGCCTCCTTGGTGTCCGACCTGGAATGATGCAACCCCATGGACCATTAGTATGTTGCTTTTTGTGAGGTTTAAGCCAATTTGGTAAATAAATCTAAATAGAAATATTGGCACTGAGCACTAAAATGAGTTGGAACTCATTGAATTGGATGGACTTACCTTCATACTCATAAGTTATACAGGATGTTAGTAAGGCCACTTTTGGAGTATTGTGTCCAGTTCTGGTCATGCTATTATAGGAAGGATATTATTAAGCTGGAGAGGGTTCAGAAGAGTATTACCAAGACGCGACTGAGAATGGAGGGTTTGAGTTGTAAGGAGAGGCTGGATAGGCTGGGACTTCTTTCACTGGAGCACAGGTGACCTTTATAGAGGTTTATAAAATAGAGGGGTATGGGTAAGGTGAATGGCAGTTGTCTTTCCCCGAGGGTGGGGGATTTCAAGACTCGGAGGCATATTTCTAAGTTGAGAGGAGAAAGATTTTTAAACAAAGACGTGAGGGGCAACTTTTTTTCTGCGGAGTGGTTCGTTTTTGGAATGAATGTCCAGAGGATGTGGTGGGTATAGGTACAGTTACAATGTTTTAAAGGCATTTTGATAAGTACATGAATAAGAAATGCTTGGTGGGATGTGGGCCAAGCACAGGCAGATTGAACTAGTTTAGTTTGGGATTAAGGGTCAGTGTGGACGAGTTGGACCAAAGGATCTCTTTCCATGCTGTATGACTCTATGACTGATTGCTTAACCTGTGATATTTGGTTCTGGTTTTGATCATTTTAACCAAATTGAAACATACCATTCATACTTTTACATGCAAGTTTTAAAATTCCACATGTACTTTTCCTTTGAGCTGATGGAAGATCAATTATTTTATTAAATGGTTCAAAAACAGAAATGTTTTGTAAATATACCTTTTATGATTTAGATGTTTGAGAGAGAAAAAATTTAAAGCCTTTTGTTGATCACTAGTTGATGAAATCTGGCTGCAGTTAGTTTTTCTTCCATGTTTTAGTTGAATAAGTGTAATAGGTTAATTTAAGCATCATAGGAAATGCATTATTTTGGCACTAAATTTCAATCTCTGTTTAGCCTCCCAGGCGCCCAGACTCATCAGATGATCGTTATGTAATGACAAAACATGCTGCTATATATCCAACTGAGGAGGAGCTGCAAGCTGTCCAGAAGATAGTTTCCAATACTGAACGTGCTCTTAAACTTGTGTCTGACTGCATCACAGAACAAGATAAACCAAAAAACAAAGAGGATGAGAAGAAAGATGCAATCAAAGATAGGTATGGCACTTTTGAGTTTTGAAGTCAGTTTATAATTTTGGACAGTACAGACCTTAAACATTGCTAAAACAAGACGTAGAACTCATTAGGAATGAAATGTTTAAAAAAAACAGCGACTTTAGAAAGAAAACAAATTAAGTGAGAAGAGATTGTTGATTGCTTGACTTATGGATGGCGTTGACCTACTGCAGGAATTATGAATCATCCTGACTACAATGGAAAAGCTTCAACTTGTATCTCCTCTTAGCAATGCTTAATTTCTTTGGATTGTGAGAAATTTTGATATGTCAAATTATCATTGCGTATGTAGACTACTTTTACATTGAATAGCTATTTGTGAGGATGCATTATTTTCCAAATATAATGTACAAACAACAGTAGTCTAACAGATTTATTTTGAATTGTTATTCTAAGACCAAGAATTTTAATTTTTAATACACCCGAATGCAATCCTTCGTTGTTACAGGTTTAAGATAGAGTCATAGTGATGTACAGCATGGAAGCAGACCCTTTGGTCCAACTCATCCATGCTGACCAATATCCGAAATTAATCTAGTCCCATTTACCAGCCTTTGGCCCATATCCCTCTAAGCCCAACTGTACATACACCTATCCAGATGCCTTTTAAATGTTGTAATTGTAACTGCCTCCCCCACTTCCTCTGGCAGCTGATTCCATACATGTACCACCCTCTGTGTGAAAAGGTTGCCCCTCAGGTCCCTTTTTAAATCTTTCCCCTCTCACCTTAAACCTGTGCCCTCTAGTTTTGGACTCCCACACCCCAGGGAAAAACCTTGTCAGTTCACCCTATCCATGCCTCTCATGATTTTATAAACTTTTATAAGGTCACCCCTCTGCCTGCGACGCTCTAGGGAAAATAGCTGCAGCCTATTCAGCCTCTCCCTGCAGCTCAAACCCTCCAACCCTGGTAACATCCTTGTAAAGCTTTTCTGAACCCTTTCAAGTTTCACAATATCCTTCCTATAGCAGAGAGACCACAACTGAATGCAGTATTCTAAAAGTGGCCTAATCAATGTCCTGTACAGCTGCAACATGACCTCCTGAATCCTATACTCAATGCACTGACCAATAAAGGAAAGCTTACCAAATGCCACCTTCACTATTCTATTTACCTGCGACTCCACTTTCAATGGAGTATGAACTTGCACTCCAAGGTCTCTTTGTTCAGCCGCACTGTCCAGGATCTTATCATTTAAGTGTATAAATCCTGCCATGATTTGCCTTTCAAAAATGCAGCACCTTACATTTATCTAAATTAAGCTCCATCTGCCACGCCTTGGCGATCTGAGAACTTAAGTGTTTTGGGTGTACCTATGCATCACAATGGCTCAGGAATATGGTTCATGCCTCACATCCTATGAATGATTGAAAAATATCGAGGGAAATTTTTAATATATCCAGGGTGAAAGATGATCTACAATTCCTCTTATTGATTTATTTTCTGATTCCAAATTTTTTAGACTTTGCTTTCGCAAATTGCGATTGCCTGGCTTTTCTGTAGTCATTTAACTCTGAACTGATCACATTACAAATGATGTACATTGTTGTTACACACAGTGGACTTGAAAATAAATGTTTAGAACTGAGATCCACATTTAAAATAATGCTATTGTTGCTATTAAAAGTGCAAAATGTTCTCAAAAACAGTTGCCCTGAAGCTATGTTGCAATGATGTTGACACATAATTGCCCTCTTCAGTGGTCTAGCAAGCCATCCCACTTAAAGACAATTGCTGATCCCATACCATGAAGAAAATAGGACAAAACGTTTCTGGTCCCATTGAAAAATCTACATCCGAAGACTGTAAGACTCAGCGGAATTAAGCCATTCAGCCCATCGAGCGTGCTCTGCAGTTCAGTTAGATGATGGCTGATCTGATTATCCTCAACTCCATTTTCCTGCCTTTTCGCCATAACCCTCCATTCCTTTATTGATCAAAAATCTGTCTATCTCAACCTTGAATATACTTATTGACCCAACTTCCACAGTCCTCTGTCGTAAAGAATTCCACAGATTCACTTCCCTCAGAAGAAATTCCTCCCAGCTGTCTTTAAACGTGTCATCTCTTAAACTGAGACTATGCCCTCTGGTCTTGGTCTCTCCCACAAGGGGAAGTGACCTTCCACATCTAACCTGTCAAGCCCCCCAAGAATCTCGAATGCTTCAATTAGATTGCCTCTCATTCTTCTGTTTTTCAACAAGTACAGGCCCAATCTAATCCACCTCTCCTCACAAAGACAGGCCATCACCTGATGAACCTTATTTGGACAGCTTCCAACGCCAGTATATCTTTTAGATAATGGGCCCAAAACAGTTCACAGTATTCCAGCTGTAGTCTGTCCAGTGCCTTGTATAATTTTAGCAAAACCTTTTATACTCCATTCAATTTTGAAATAAACGCCAACATTGCATTTACTTTCCCTATTACCTACTGAACTTGGATGCTAGCCTTTTGTGATTTGTGGATGAGGACTCTCAAATCTTTCTGTTCTGTAGCTTAATGCGGTTTCTCATCACTTAAATAATATTCAGCCTTTCTATCTTTCCTGCCAAAGTACATAACCTCTCTTCTCTCATTATATTCCATCTGCCAAGGTTTTGCCCACGTGCTGAACCTGTCTGTATCCCCCTGTGGATTGTCATCCTCACCACTTGCTTTCCCACCTCTTCTTGTGTCATCCGAAAACTTGGCTGTGGTACATTCGCTTGCCTCATCTGAGTCATTAATATATACTGTAAATAATTATGGCCTGTGTTTCTCACCAGATATTGCTGGAAAGGGAGATTAATTGCTGCAAAGAAATTTTTGAGTGGAAGTGATACACACAAAGGGTAAAAATTATCAAACTTGTAGGGAAAAGTAGCATTTGACACTTAGTCTTGAAATCAACTAATGCTTTTGCTATGTTCCTAATAACTACAATAGGTACAGAAACTTGACTTGCATTTTTTATCTCTCCTACCCAAACTTGCTACAGAAGAGATGATAGCCAGAGAGCTTTGAAAGGCGTAATGCGAGTTGGTGTGCTTGCCAAAGGGTTGCTGTTACGTGGGGACAAAAATGTGAACCTTGTTCTGCTCTGCGCAGAGAAACCAACTGGAACACTGCTAAATCGCATTGCAGAGAACTTGCCGAAGCAGCTTGCGGTATGGTACTTTTGCTTAAGACAAAACTCTCCTAAACATTGAATCACTTGGATTGGTAGATTAGCAGATAACAACTTCTTTTGCTATTACGTTTGACTTACTGGCAGGTGTTCTGAGCATAGGGCAATTTGGTAGAATTTCAGTGTTGATATGCTGATACTTTGATGAAAAGGGATCAAGAAAAGTGTTTAATTTTTTTTAACCAAAGATAGAAAGTCCTACTGCGACAAAAACTTAGTACTTATGTTTTGTCTCCTTTTTTATCTAAAGAGGTGATGGAAAAACTACAGATGGTGGGAATGTCAAACTAAAAATTGTTAAGAATTTCCAAATTTCAGCATCTGTAACAAGGAAAAGCATTCATTTTATTTCTGTTTACAGATTGTGACTGTGTTCCGTTTTCTGTTTTGACATTTGTAATGCTGGACTTTATGGTGGTCTGCTTTTACTAGTTAAATTTTAAAAATCTAATTGCAGGTAACCACACCTGAGAAATATGAAGTGAAGTGCTGCATACCTGACGCAGCCATACTACTTAATTCGTATACGGAACCAAAAATGCAAGTCACCATCACACTTACATCCCCGATCATTAGAGAGGAGAACATGAGGGATGGAGGTTGGAAGTCTAAGATTCTTTACTTGTCTGCTTCTCTGTTCTGTTTTTTTCCTGCTATTTTCAGATGCCAATGGGCCCTAGGAGTTACTCTATGACACTTTTCAGTATATAAGAGACTTGAAAGAAAGTGGAATTCAAAGCATGTTATTGTGTGCAATATGTGAAGTTGACTGTGCTCGTAAAGGAAAGTGTTGTAGAATTCACTATTCTGAGGTCCCTTGGTATTCAACACACGGCTCCCCTGAGTGCAAGCTGAACCCTGTATTCTTAAGAATATTTTTGTAATGTAACTTCAAGTGTGCTGGTGTTCATATTGTTAAACTGTTTTTCACATAATTCATGGGATTCCTTACAACAGAACAGGGCTCTTAAATTCAGATTTGTTGTCTGGAAACTTTTATTAGATGTAACAGACACCTTTATATCCTAAAATATTAAAGACTGCGATATGAAATAACTGGTAAAATGGCCTGTGGAATGCTAATTAACTCTTTAGTTATCTGCTGAAGCATCTTATTTCAGTTGCTGACATACAACTGTAAAGCTGATTTTAATTTTGCCTCCTGAAAACAAGCTAAAGCTTTAACAGTAATGGGTACATTTTTCCAAAACTATGTATTTAATTTGGAACAAAAGATAAATCCCAGGCACCAAAGTAATCAAATGTCTTTTATGAATAAAAGCATTTTTAAACTATACAATGAGCAAACTTTTTGTCACTTCTGACCTGAGGAACAGCACAATATTCGTGCATTTCATCGAATTTTAGAGCCCTGATAATGTAAAATGCCAGATTTTATTTTAGGCTTTCAGAAAATCCTTGGGGGAGTTACTAAACTACTACTAATGAAGGCTTTGCGAGAGGAATCTCTGATGGATGAGGGACGGGTATAAGGAAAAAATTCCCTTAATTGTTAGACTGCCGCCAGTTTGAGTCTGCGTGTTTTGCTGGTGTTGACTCTGCAATAACTTATTTGTGACCTTTGTTGGGATGTAGATTTCCAGCAAGATGGTTGTTTTTATCTATCCATAGCTCATGGATTCAGTCCAAAGCCTTCTAGCATCAACAGCAAGAATCGAATCCTCTCAGGGGCTGCTGCCACGTCATCGGAAGGATTTTTGACCAAGGTTTTTGTAAGAGCTTAGCCACACCTGCCACACAGTTGTTGGATGGACTGGGGCCACTCCAGCCTTGCTTATATATAAAATGTATCTAGAGATCGAACAATGCCACTTAGTGTTGGTATCAGATATGTTACTTTCTTTAAAATTAAGTAAATTGCTTTCACAATCCCCTTTTTATACAAAATTACATTTAATTGAAGCTCTAATATAAGAATTCAATTTCTATAATTGTGTAGTTTCCAAACTAAACACATCCAAATTGCTTTGGTGGTTTGTTTTATAAGGAAATGTCTGGTATGTTATGCCAGCATTACATATACTGCCAGATATGTGGTATCGGTCTATCTCTTCAGTGTTCTTGCAGAATTCCATTTCCTTTCCTGCTTTCTTTGACTTAGTTTGATGCTGCTGAAATATAGGTGATAATTATTTCTATGAAACTTTAGCAGGGCCACAAAAATTCATTTTTTTTCAAAGCAGTCCAATAATCATTAATCACATACCAGCTAGCAACAACATTTGTATACAAATCATAGCTGAATAGCATATTGAAATTGCTGAAATAAAATCACTGCCCTTTCATTTGTACCAAGGATCAAAGTCATCTCAGGTTACAATAAGACTACCATAATTTCCCTCTCTGGACTTTAAGAATCCTTGATTACTGATGCAGATTTCAGTATATTCATTAACAATTGTTCAAATTTCCTAATTAGTGATTTTTGGCCAGGTATTTTAAATAATAAGGCATAGAGGACAATTTAATAAGCAATCATACCATCGTCCAACTCTAAAACTTTGGAGTTTACCTTTTTAGTAATTCAGGTGAAGTGAACTTAAATGGGTAAACTGTGCCACCTAAATGTTTACTGCGGAAGTTACCTAAATGGATAACAGATTCTACTGGTGACTTTATGACTCTCCAAAGTACGCAATCTAAACTAAAATTTTTAATTTTCAATTCGATCGGCAAAAAAACTTGGTAAATCTTAAGAGTTAAAACCTTTGTTTTGGATCTGAGGTCTTAAATCATACAGATAATTAGTTTGGAAACTAAGTTATGCTGGCTTGGTAGATGTTCTTTTTCAATGCCAGTGTATTAAAATTCAAGGTTTAATATCAGGATGCCTCTGCATTGTATCCAGTAATGGCAGTACATACCTCTAGCTCAGCTGCTGTACTTGTAGATGTAGTTTAAAACTTCTGTCACTTTTATCCTTCACTTTGATCTAAATACAAGATATTTTAGGGAACCTTTTAAAATGGAAGGATACTGGTGAGACCAATTGTAATTGTTTTCCCGTTTTGGAATTTGTAAAAGATGTATCTTCTATATCATGACAAAGCTAGCTGGAAATATAAAACTAGATGGTAAGAGTTTCTACAATTACATAAAAAGAGAGTGGTCCAAGTGAGCATTGGTCCTTTAAAAGGTGAGACAGGAGTTTAAATGAGAAGCCAGGGAACGGTGAAAGTGTTGAGTAGGCATTTTATATCAGTCCTTATTGTAGAAAGCATAAAAAGTGGGAAGGACGAACTTGAAAGCAATCCCTAGGGGAAATGTACTTCAAAATTATTGGGACTAAACACTGACAATTCCCTTGGACCTGATGGACTGCATATAGGGGTCTTGGAAGAAGTCGCTGCAGAGGGATGCATTGGTTGTAATCTTCCCAAATTCCCTAGATTCTGGAACAGTCCCAGCCGATTGGAAAAGCGCAAATGTAATACCTTTTTGATAAAGGAGGGGAACAGAAAGCGTGAAGTTCTTGGACCGTTAGCTGATGTCTGTCATAGTGAAAATGCTCGAATCCATTATTAATGAGGTAGCTGCAGGACATTTAGAAAATCGTGGTATAATGAGGCAGAATCTTCGTGGTTTTGTGAAGAGGAAATTGTGTTTGACAGATTTATTAGATTCCTGTAAGTGTGCAACAAACAAGATGGATAGAAAACTAGTGGCTGTAGTATATTTGAATTCCAAAATGCATTCAGTAAGGCTAACAGGAAGCACTAAATTGGGACAAGAATGATCCCCTTCAGTTTGGTTAACTAACTAAAGATTGCCATGTGGATCAGTGTCAGGACCTCAGATGTTTACAATTTACATTATTGACCTGGTTTAAGATACTGTTTATTTCATAGCTAAATTTGCTCAACACAAAAATAATAAGAAAGCAAGTTGTGAAGACATTGGGTGTCTGTAAAGGCATATAGATAGATTAAGTGACTAAGCAAAAATTTGGCAGATGGAGTACAGTTGGAGAAAATGTGAGCTTTTTCAGTTTGCGGGAAGAATAGAAATATAGAATATTATTCATGTAGAGATTGCTGAAATCTGTGGCAGTGGAGTTTGGTGTCCCCATACATGAATCACAGAAAGCTGGTTAACAAGTGTAATAAATTATATGTTTCCCTCTTTTTCAAGGCAAAAGGACTGTAAACATAGGGAAGTCTTGCTGTAGCTGTTAGAGCTTTAATGAAGCTTCAGCAGAAATAATGTGGCTATTTAGTCTCCTTGCTTCAGAACGGACGTAATTCTGTTTAGAAGCTGTCAAAGAAGGTTCATTTGGCTGATTCCTCTGAGGAAAGGGTTGTCTTATGAGAAGAGGATTGAGCAAGCTATGCTCATCGAACTGTAGAAGAAAGAATGTTATTGAAACATAAGAATCTGAGTATTTTAGAATTATCTATCCCAGAGAGCAGTGAAAGCTGGGTCATGTGATATATTCAAAGCAGTATTGAGATTGTTGATTGACAAGGAAATTTGAGGAGTAGGGATGGTGGGCAGGCAGGAAAGTGAAGTTAAGGCCTCAGTTTAGCCGTGTCTTATTGAACAGTCGTGCAGTTCAAAGAGCTGAGTGGACTTCTCTTATTTAATTATGGCCTTAGTCATTTTTGTAGATCACTATGTACTGCAAAATTATTGTACTGTATAGTATCTGGCATTGAATGGGAACTCCAGGTTAGATGAAATTTTATACATTAATGTACAGTGGCTTTAAGATACATTACTTCCAGCAAAAAAATGAAATACCAGTGAACTAATTATGTACTACATCAATTGACAATCTCATGTTTACAAGATTCTTCTATTCTTAATTCTCTACATGGATTTCTGGAGGCCCTTCTATAATATGTTCTGAATTGGCTGGTGAAGTGTGGCTACTAGTCCTCCTTTGTACTTTAGGACAAACTGATAATTGAAGCAGAGTCTGTATTTATACAGTTACACTGAGTGTTTTTAAAAGTGTCAACAAAACCTCATGCTCATTGAGCCACTTGAGACATCAAAAAACCCCAAGTATTATAATACATTTAATTGGAATTTATTGGATATTTTAAAAAAAAGGTATTTCTTCATGAAATGTCAGTTTTGGGTAGTATGTGTGGCAGTATGGCTATGTTTCTGAAATGACATGCCTACCTGGTCAAACACCCATTCCTCACTGCACTTTGCCAATTCGATCCATTTTAGATGTAACCTCGGTTATGGTGAAAGATCCACCGGACGTCTTGGACAGGCAAAAATGCCTTGACGCTCTGGCTGCTCTACGCCACGCTAAGTGGTTCCAGGTTCGGAACATCATTTTACTTTCTTCTTGTAGCCTTATGAGAGATAATTGAGTTTATAACTTTTCCATGAAAATGAGCTATTACATAGTAAACCTAATATTCCCAAGGCTGCCTACATTGATTGTGCCTTTGCCTAAAAGTGACCAGGAAAAATACTTCTGATTTTGTTTTTTTGTTGTTTTTTTCCTCTCAGTTCCCTTTTCTATTGTTTAAACATTTAAATTGTTCGTTTACTTTTTTTCTGGTCATTGACTGTAGCATGAGGCATCCTTGTGTCGCTTTACATAATGTTTGCACTTTATCAGTATTGTGTTGATGTAATTGTTCCATAAGGCTGCAGTTTTAACTGGCTTTTAAAAGGGAATTTGTAATGCTTTATGCTTAGCTTTTGTAAACTTTTCTTCACCCGCTCCATTTATAATTTTATTTTGAAATTTAGTGTTTGTATGTTGACACGGGAGACCGAGAAGTTGCTCTAACTTACTGTGAGTTTGCAGTGTGCTAAATATGCAGTAAGAAAAGGCAGTCTACTCTGTGTTCCGTGATTTATATTGATTCTTTCAATTTATCTTCTGTGAAATTGTGGACTTTTCAGTGTAAATTCCGTGTTCTTTTGATATACAATGAAGGAAGAACGTGCGGGACAAGAAGTTCTCAAGAGGCCAGGAAGATGAGCTAGGCCAGCTTCTTCCTGTTTCTGCTGTGCACTTTGACCCCCATTTCTTCCACAGAACAGAAAAATTCTGCTGTAGACTGTACACTGACGAGTAAAGTGCTGGATATATTTTTTAATTAATCCACCACCTTTACAAGCTTTTGTTTTGAAGCAGCAGTGTTTTTCCCATTGTCTAGTCTCTAGCTTGGAGACTTGTTAACGTCCATGTGACTTTAAATTTTTGTTTCTACTTTAGGCTAGAGCGAATGGTTTGCAGTCTTGTGTGATTATTATTCGCATCCTTCGTGATCTTTGCCAGCGTGTGCCTACCTGGGGAGCATTGCCAAGCTGGGTGAGTGTGGCTGTCATTTGCTCAGGCAGGTGCATAAAACCTACTGTTGAGCTAGACTTTGGCATGGTTCAGGGGAATTTGCTAATTGCACAGAACAACATCCGTTTTTGACGTAGCAATAAAAGATGACTATAAAATGGGTGTCCAAAACCGACTGGTACCATTAAATCCTTCTGTGCAATTGGGGACTCTTCAATATAAATGCTGTCTTCTTTTAATTTTTTTTCTCTCAATTCATTCAAGGGTTGTGGGCATCACTGGTTAGGCCAGCATTTATTGCCCATCCCTTTAATTGCCCAGAGGGTAATTAAGAGTCAACCACATTGCTGTGGGTTTGGAGTCACATGTAGGCCAGACTAGGTAAGGATGGCAGATTCCTTCCCTAGAGGACATTAATGAACCTGATGGGTTTTTGGATTCGTGGTCATTGGACATTGGATTCGTGGCCATGGTTAGACTGTTACTTCCAAATTTTTTTTTATTGAAAAATAAATTCCACCATTTGCCATGGTGGGATTTGAACCCTGGTCCTTAGAACATTGCCTGTGTCTCTGGATTAACAGTCCAGTGATAATATCACTAGGCCATCACTTTGCCTTTGTTGATAAATATGTGGGACAATATATTCTGGTAAACTGTCATAACATTTTGAGGACTAAGAGAATGACCAGAGAAAGGGTAGGGCCGATCAAGGATTGTAAAGAGAATTTGTGCACGGAGCCTAAAGAGATAGGAGAGGTCCTTAATGAATAGTTTTCTTTGGTACTCGCAACTGAAAGGGACCTAGTTGTAGAGGAGGACAGTATGAAACAGGCTGGTAGGCTAGAGAAGGTCGATGTTAGTAAGGAAGATGTGCTCGGAATTTTGAGGAAGTTGAAGATAGATAAATCCCCTGAGCCTGATGGGATTTATCCAAGGATTCAATGGGAAGGGGGGAAGAGATCGCAGGGCCTTTGGCGATGATCTTTTCGTCCTCACTGTCCACGGATATAGTGCCGGAAGATTGGAGAGAGGCAAACGTCATTCCCTTGTTCAAAAAAGGGAATAGGAATAACCCCGGAAATTACAGGCCAGTTAGTCTTACATCAGTGTGGGCAAATTATTGGAAAGGGCTCTGAGAGATAGGATTTATGATCACTTGGATAGGCACAGGTTGATTCGTGATAGTCAGCATGGATTTGTGAGGGGTAGATCATGCCTCACAAATCGTATTGAATTCTTTGAAGAGGTGACCAAACACGTGGATGAAGGTGGAGCAGTGGATGTGGCATACATGGATTTAAGTAAGGCGTTTGATAAGGTTCCCCATGGTAGGCTCATACAGAAGGTAAGGAGGCATGGGATAGGGGGAAATGTGGCAGATTGGATTCAGAATTGGCTGACCCTTAGAAGACAAAGGGTGGTAGTGGACGGAAAATATTCAACGTGGTGCTCGGTTACGAGTGGTGTACCACAAAGATCAGTTCTGGGTCCTCCTCTGTTTGTGATTTTTGTAAATGATTTGGTTGTAGGAGTGGAAGGGTGGATTAGCAAGTT